TCGAACCTGCGATCTACGTATGTCGCCTGAACAAGAACTGAACCTGCAAACTTCTGGTGCACGAGACAACACTCCAACCAACCTAGCCACCCAACCAGGGCAATACTGGTTTTCTTCACATATTCTCCGAAGCTTGATACTTGGGAAAGTCACAGAAAGGCACAAATACTGAAAGATTTCAGTGCGGAGCCAGGCAACAAAGCAGGGTCTCAATCAATACTCAGCAACTAAGTCACTATCATAAAGTTCCTCATAAAGTATTCATTGATAAATGCCCCTTACCCTGAAAATTCAAGCAAAACAGAGGTTCAGGAAATTTGAGAAAGCTAACCCACTGTGTATTTGGGAAATACCCAGTGGGTATTTCAAATTGTAAAATTTCCCTCCCCTGCCCTTTTTCCCATGCCAGCAATTTTTCTATCCCATGGAGATGTTACCATGCAACATGTATTAATCCATTCATTTGTTTTAAGGATCAAACTAAAATCTGTTTGCACATATAAAATGCTGATTACTTTTAAGGAAGACATTCTGAAGCTGGGAAAGTTACTAAGTAGAAATTCCAAAATAAAACAAAAACAGACACAAATGAAGAAACAAAGGAGAGAGAATGACCGCCAGGGACTTGGACTCTGAGCCCGAGGCCTGTGGTGAAGACTCAGGAGAGTGGGAATGATCCCATGTCCAGAAGACAGAAAAAAAAACACCCATGAGCTGGGTGACTGGACACAGAATTCATCAAATCCACACCCAAAGTGCACCTGATATGAACCTAGAATCCAATAATTTCAAGATATATACAAAAACATTATGTACACTCTTACACTCTTGGTGCCAAATTTATGGAATCTTTTGTCCAAAAATTGGTGCAGGCCAAATATAGAAATTGTCCCCCCCCAAAAAAAAGGTTTATATCCAATCATAAAATCCACAATGGCTTATTTAAGAAATTTAGAAGTGTTTGAAGGCAGATACATTCCTGACCCTCTGTAGCTGGCATGCTGGAGGGAAGTGTGCTCAAGAACAAAAGTTCCTATTTCTCATATAAAATACTTTCAAATGTTTATTCAAACATAAAGAGGTTTCTGTGTCTACCAAAGGATTTCCCTAGAAAACAACATTGGTTGAATGTTTCCAATTTTATTTGAAAAGTAAATAAGTGAATTTCATTAATGCCAAAATATACACACTTCAGAGTATACAATAGTAAAAACTTATTTTGAAATAGAAGAATAACAAACAGAAATATAATACCTGAGATGCATGGCAGCATTTAATTTTCTAACATTAGGTTGAGTTTATTTCAAAAAAGAATGAAATTCAACTTAACTATGATGGGGTTTCTTCTCAACCCACAATGGTTAATTTATTGCTGCCACAAAATAAAAACATACTTGCTAACATGAAAGTTATAAAACTTCCACTTTTATAGATATAAAAGTTGAAATTAGTGCGATCTGTTATATTAGAAACATATCAACTAACCCTGTTGATTGATAACCCCCAGTATTACTTCTTAATTTTTTTAAATCACTCACTTTCCAAGGAATATGAAATATTTCTTTTTCAACAGATTCCAATTTGTCCCATGCCTCCATGTGAGGCAAACTAGGTCTTTCTACTGATTTTACCAGAATGATTTTATGAAATACAACCAGCACCTCCTCACAATATTCCCCCAGATAAAAACTGCAGCATATATAAAAGCCCATCGATAGTTTTTTTTAATCCACTAATTAAAAGCAGGACTGCAAAGGAGGGGAGTTCATGGGAGAGTTCTTTACTGTGAAGTCTGGTTTTCCTGTGAAGTAGAATTTCATCAAACTGAATGTGTTATGAATTTTAAATGTATTTGATGCTGAAGGGGAAGAAATAAGTATGCAGTTCTTTCTTTCGGGCTTGTCTTTAGATGTGTCTGGTTATTACCCTGGCAACCCTTACAAATGCCAACTGACGTCAAGAAAAGAGGAAAAACACTGCTGAGAGCATGCACTCCATGCATTATAGATCATTCTGAGGACTTAGAATTCGTAGGCACGTGCAGGCACTAAATGGCTTTAAGATGAGCACAAGCAATCCTCCGCTTTAAAGGCATTCTTCATAAATTTTTTATGGAGTTGCAAATCTGAAAAGAGCATCTTTGAGTTTTTAATTTAAGTAAAGCACAATCCAACTATTGGCTTAGTTGTTCTGTCTCAGTAACTGCCAAGTCTACTAAAATGTTGGCACTAGTAAATCTCATAAACAAATGGAAACTGCCCTTTTCTTTTGAAAGTATGTTTTCCCAACAGTTTATTATTAAAAAAAAAAGTTTAGTCATAGAAAGTTGACAGCATTTTATAATGACCCCCCCCATATATCTATCACCCAGAGTCTTCCAGTCTGTCATTAGCATTTTACTTTCCTGGCCTTATCACATATTTATCTGTCTATCTATCTATCCATCCATTTGTCCCTTTATTCGTACCTTCATCTATCTAATTTTTTGATGCAACTCAAACATAAAAATTACAGGTATAAATATACTCCCCCCTAAATATTTTAGTATGATATCATTAACTATACTTCAATAGTTTTTCTTTTGATAAAACACTTAGAAACAATGAAATGCACAAATTTTAAGTGTATATTTGCTGAGCTTTTTAAATGCATAAAACCTCCTGTCAAGATATAAAACATTACTGCCTCCCTAGACGGTTCCCATAGCCGCTTCCCATTTACTCCCCAGCCCATCATCCTCCACAGGCAACTACTCTGGTGATTTCTGAAAGTATGTTTAAGATCCTTGTAACAGAGCCGATTATTTCTAAGAGCGTCCTCCCTCGAACGGTCCCAAGGAGTTCATCTTTCAAACTGCAAGTGCCTGTGTTCAGTGCCTGTAGTATTAGTGTGCCCAGCATTTACTTTTCCTCTGTCGAATCTTTTCCCCAATTTCAACCGTGTAACACAATACAGTACCTCCAGGAATGAAAGGCAAAATTAGAACAGGGTACATAATTTTCAAGGGTCAGTGAAAAGTGAAGATGCAAGACCCTTGTTCAAAATGTATTATTAAGCATTGGCGGGAGGGAGAGGCTGTGTGGAGGAGGCAAAGGGGAACTTTGGAACAACTGTAATAGCATAAACAAAATATAATTTTTTTTAAATTTATTAAGAATTCAATGATGGTGACAGCCAGGCATTAAACTAAGTACAGAACCCTTCTAAGCATAAGGCTTTTTGTTTTCTTTTCCTTTTAAAAAAATTTAATCTTTCTTGCATTTTTTCCACTACCATTTAGTCCCTTTATACGCCCCTCCCCACAGCCTCTCAGCAGTCACCACACTGTTGTCCATGTCCATGAGTCCTTTTTCCTTTTTGCTCAATCCCTCCACCCCCTAATGTCTTTCCCCACTAGCTGTGAGCCTGCTCTCCATCTATGAGTCTGTCCCTATTTTCCTTGTTAGTTCAGTTTGTTCATTAGATTCCACGTATGAGTGAAAGAAATCATGTGGTATTTACCTTTCTCTAACTGGCTTATTTCACTTAGTATAATGTTCTCCAGGTCCACCCATACTGTCACAAAAGGTAAAATTTTCTTCTTTTTTATGTCCAAGTAATATTCCATCGTGTAAATGTCCCGTAGTTGTTTCATCCACTCATCTACTTGGGCTGCTTCCATATCTTGGCAAGTGTAAGTAACACTGCCACGAACATAGTGGTGCTTACATTCTTTTGAGTTAATGTTTTGTTTCCTTTCGATATATTCCCAGAAGTGGGATAGCTGGGTTGAAAGACAGATCCATTTTTAATTTTTTGCAGTATTGCCATGCTGCTTTCCACAATGGCTGCACCAGTCTGCATTCCCACCAAGAGTGCAAAAGGGTTCCCCTTTGTCCACATCCTCACCAGCACCTATTTGTTGATGTATTGGTGATAGCCATTCTGATAGTTGTGAGATGATATCTCACTGTGGTTTTAATTTGCATTTCTCTGATGATTAGTGACATCAAACATCTTTTCATATGTCTATTGGCTATTTGTATGGCCTCTTTGGAAATGTCTGAAATGTCTATTCAGGTCCTTTGTCCATTTTTTAATTGGGTTGTTTGGGGTTTGGGGGGGTTTTCTTTTGGTTTTGAGTTTTGTAAGTACTTAATACATTTTGGATATTAACCCCTTATTAGATGTATTGACAAGTATGTTCTATACTGTGGGTTGTCTTTTTGTTTTGTTGATGATTTCCTTTGTTGTACAAAAAATTTTTAGTTTGATTTAGTCCCATTTATTTATTTTTTTCTTTTGTTTCCCTTACCTGGGGAGATATATCTGATAAAATATTACAACACGCAATGTCTGAGATTTTGCTACTTATTTTTCTTTGACAGTTTTTATGGTTTCAGGTCTAACGCTTGTCTTTGATCTGTTTTAATTTATTCTTGTGTGTGGTTTAAGAAGGTGGTCTAGTTTCATTTTTTTGTACACATTTGTCCAGTTTTCCCAACACCATTTACTGAATAAACTGTCTTTAGCCCATAGTATGTGCCTGTTTCCTCTGTCGAATACTAATTGACTGTAATGGTGTGGGTTTATTTCTGGACTGTCTGTTCTGTTCCATTGATCTACGTGTCTGTTTTTATGACAGTACCATGCTACTTCGATTACTATGGTCTTACAGTATAGTTTGATATCAGGTAGTGTGATTCCTCTAATTTTGTTCTTCTTTCTCAGGATTGCAGTTGCTATTCAGGGCCTTTCCTGGTTCCATATAAATTTTTGAAATATTTGTCCTAGTTCTGTGAAATACATCATTAGAATGTTTTTTGTTATAGCACAACATATATTTCAAATGGACAAAATTAGTATCATTTACAGTATCTTAAGACAAATTGCCTTTGAATGGGAGCATCCTTTCCAGTACTTTGAGGTCTACCAGATGTATCTAGATAATTTACTACTGTGGAAAGTGAGGACTGTTTACATCGAATGGGGAAGGGGCGGGCCTGTGGCTTTTCTCTTGATTAATTGCTGTAACCCTGTCCTTCAGGTGGTTGAAGGAGTTTCATATTTTTTTTAGACACCATTAGGTGCTTCAGCTCCTGCAGGACAACTTTGATCCTATCTGAATCCTTCCATTTTTCTAGCACTGATATGACTCTTGGGTCCACCACTCCATTAGAACTATTAGCTCCATTCACATTAATTTTTTGTTACAAATGTTACAAAGGGGGGGGTGCCTCTGGGTATTTAGGTGCACATCCTATTTTAAGGCTGTATATTTGGTTTTTTAAATATATTTTATTGCTTATGCTATTACAGTTGCCCATTTCTCCCCCTTCATTCCCCTCCTCCCTGCACACCTCTTCCCACTCACATTCCCCCCTTTAGTTCATGTCCATGGCTTAAACATATAAGTTCTTTGGCTTCTACATTTCCTACACTATTCTTAACCTTCCCCTGTCTATTTTCTACCTACCATTTATTGCTCTTATTCCTTGTACCTTTTCCCTCTCGTTCCCCCTCCCCCTCCCCCCACTGATAGCCCTCCAAGTGAGCTCCATTTCTGTGATTCTGTTCTCGTTCTAGTTGTCTTAGTTCATTTTTGTTTCTGTTTTTTTGTTTAGGTTCAGTTGTTGATAATTGTGAGTTTGTTGTCATTTTACTGTTCATATTTTTGATCTTCTTTTTCTTAGATAAGTCCCTTTAACATTTCATATAACAAGGATCTGGTGATGATGAACTCCTTTCACTTGACCTTATCTGGGAAGCACTTTATCTGCCTTCCCATTCTAAATGATAGCTTTGGACAGAGTAAATCTTTGATGTAGGTCCTTGCTGTTTATGACTTTGAAGACTTCTTCCCAGCCCCTTCTTGCCTGCAAGGTCTCTTTTGAGAAGTGAGCTGACAGTCTTATGGGAACTCCTTTGTAGGTGACTGTCTCCTTTTCTCTTGCTGCTTCTAGGATTCTCTCTTTATCTTTAATCTTGGCTAATGTAATTATGATGTACCTTGGTATGTTCATCCTTGGGTCCAAGTTCTCTGGGACTCTAAGCTTCCTAGACTTTCTTGAAGTCTATTTTCTTTGCCAGATTGGGGAAGTTCTCCTTCATTAATTTTTCAAATAAGTTTTCAATTTCTTGCTCTTCCTGTCCTCCTGGCACCCCTATAATTCGGATGTTGGAACATTTAAAGATGTCCTAGAGGTTCCTAAGCTTCTTCTCATTTTTAAAAAATATTTTTATTTATTTATTTTTAGAGAGAGAGGAAGGGAAGGAGAAAGAGTGGGAGAGAAACATCAATGTGTGGTTGCCTCTCATGTGTCCCCTAATGGGGACCTGGCCTGCAACCCAGGCATGTGCCCCAACTAGGAATCGAACCAGCAACCCTTTGCTTCACAGGCCCATGCTCAGTCCACTGAGCTACACCAGCCAGGGCCTCTCCTCATTTTTTTGAATTTTTGTTTCTTCATTCTGTTCTGGTTGGCTGTTTATTTCTTCCTTCTGCACTAAATTGTTCATTTGAGTCCTGGTTTCCTTCCTGTCACTGTTGATTCCCTGTACACTTTTCTTTATTTCACTTAGCATAGCCTTCATTTTTTCCTCTAATTTGTGACCACATTCAACCAATTCTGTGAGCATCCTGATTACCAGTGCTCTGAACCGTGCATCTAATAAGTTGGCTATCTCTTCATCACTTAGTTGTGTTTTTTCTGGAGCTCTGATCTGCTCTTTCATTCGGGCCATGCTTTTTTGTTTCAGCATACATATTACACAGTAAGGGATGGAGCTTTGTGTTCACCAGGGCAGGGTAACCCATGTCACTGTGTTGTGATGCTGTCTGTGGAGGAGGTGTCCGGGAGGGAACAATGCCTCTTGCTCTGCTCTCTGCTGGTCTTTAGTCACTTCCCCTGCTACCCACAAGCATATTGGGCCCTTCTGGTGCTGATTCCAGGGTGGTTGTGTTTGTGTATATTGTAGGACCCTGTGGGCCTCTCCAACCAACTCTCCTATGAGGCTGGAAGTTTATCCTGCCACCGCAACCCACAGGTTTTTCAGAGGTTTGAGGCTTTATTTCCCAGCATTGGAACTCTGGGTTGCATGGCCTGTTTCACTCCCCAATTGTTCCCCCCAATTTTTCTGCATGCAAATGTGGAACTGCCCAGTTTGCCAGCCACTGCCTTGCCCGCCCTGGTCCACAAGCTGCTGCCTCACCTCAAGTTCTCTCTGCCCAGCTGTCCGTCTCCACCCCTCCCACTGGTCTGGATGACTGTTTCCTCTTTAACTCCTTGGTTGTCAGACTGTCATACAGTTTGATTTTCTGTAAGTTCTGGGTGTTTTTTGTTTTTTAATTTGCTGTTGTCCTTCTTTTGGTTGTGTGAAGAGGCACAGTGTGTCTACCTATGCCTCCATCTTGGCCAGAAGACCTAAGGCTGTATATTTGGTTTTCATAAGTTGTTCTTAGAGGCTCAATTATCATCCCTGTCAATCTGGTAAATGTCACATCTTCATTATCTTCTGGACCCCAGGTAACTGTGCCATCTCCTACTCCTTTCTGACCTTCTTTAAATTCTTTCAACAGTTGAGAAGTGCAAGGAAGTTTTACCCTGAAGCCTGTAGTGGCTGCCATCTTGCATTGCTGTTCCATCATTAGAATTCTGATAGGAATTGGGTTGACTCTATATATTGCTTTGGGTAGAAGCACAGGGCTTTTTCCACTGCAGAGTTTGCATGCTTATGTAGCTGGCCCCTGTTAAAATATTTTTCTTTGGAAAATGGAATATTTATTCATGTAATTGTATAGATTTATAGAGAAAAGTAACAAAGGCAAATGACAGAGCTAGAAATTTTTAAGGATCTAACAATTTCAACATTTGCTGTAAGGCACACTGAAGTGGGTAGCAAAATTTTCTCTTAGTTTCCCTTTATTTCCTTAATAGCTGAATCAATGCTATCTTTATAAACAAAGTTATGTTGAGTCAGTAAAGGTTAACTGTTTCATGGGGCTACATATCAGGAAACAAGTCACCTCTGTACTAGTAATCTCTGCCCTGACTGTAATTATACAAAGTCACCATATTTACATTTTAATTCACTAGCATCTTGGGAAACAAGTTTCACTAAAACTAAAAAGCAATTCTTTCTTTATTTAAAAAGTTAAGAAACATCTAGAAGAAAACACAAACATTCTACTCCTGAAGCAGTGTGATAAGGCAGTGGATGCCTTTCTGGCTGGAAATAACAATGGAACATTTTTAAATGATGACCACATGGACATCAGATATACTGTTAAATGACATCTAACATAGAAAATCTCATTCAGTTCAGAGAACTTCTGGGAAGGTGAATGTGCAGAGGTGCTGGGAGGGTGGTGCACCAGGAGAGGGCATGGACGGGCCACACCCTTCCCCCGTATCACGCCCTGTGCACCTCTTCCATCTGGCTGTTCCTGCATTCAGCTGTTGACAGAAGTAAAAACATCCAAACTCACCTCTCGCCATCCTTGCACAACCCCCCTTAAACAGTAAGCCCTCAGGACAAGTAGGTTCTGTGGTCAACATCAAACAGTCTTAGGAACAAAACCTTGGGTCTTAACAAGACCATTTTTCTTTTATGTGCTTTTTGCAACTTCCCCAACCTCCAGAAAGATCACATTTTCTTCTTATTCAACAATTCTAATCTGACATCATGTAGATGAAATCACAGGATTTTTCTTAATTCAGGCAAAACCAGTTTTGTGGGTTTATAAGTTGGCTGTATCTTTCCAATGACTCTACAATGCTCTCTGGTTAACAGTGAACCAATGGAGTTTTTAGTCATTCTTTTCTTTACATAATTGAAACCCCTTATTAATAGCAATGCAACAGCCAGATGAAAAGAGTCACAGGGCAGGGTCTTGAACAAAGAGATTTTATTGTCTCAAAGCTTGGGGCCCTGGCATGCTGGTACTTAAAAGTATTCTGATACCTCAACCTGAAAGCTCCCCAGTCAAAATATTTAACAACTGTTATGCTGTGGCCCAGTCGATGATATTGTAAGTCAGCCATAGCAGCCAGGCTGAGCTGTGGAAGTGCTCTTTTAGTAACTAGATGCTGAGGGGAGGCCCAGGGATATGGTGAGAAGTCAAGATAGTGGGAAGCAGAGAGGTACTTCTTTGGTGAATTCCAACAGTGGTTATATAGCAGCACCTGTGGGTGCATCAGGATTTCAGCCATGGCATGTCTCTGTTGTGTCCACTGAATTACCCTGCCAGTTGAATCCGGTTCAGCCTTTCTCAGTAGCCCATTGTCCTGATTAAGTCAGGGTATAGATTTGTAAATCAAATTACATTAATCAAAGATCTTCCCTATGAATTTTCTATGTGGATCTGCAGAAGCAGTACCTTACCACCTTCCTCCTCATGTTTGCCACTGTGTATTGCATTCTCATAATACGACCAAGACTATTAAACTAGGAATTTTCAGGGTTCTGATTACTTTCAGAGTGTAGTGGGACAGTGTCTCTAGATTTATGGTTCTTTTTTTCCCCAGGGTTTCCACATACTTTAAAAAAATAAACTTTATTTTTAGAGCAGTTTTAGGTTTCAAAGGACAGAGATTTCCCATAAACCGCCTGCCTCCACACATGCATAGTCTCCTCGCAACTATGGACATCATGAACTAGAGTGGTACATGTGTTACAATAAATGATCCTACATTATCATCTGAAGCCCATAGTTTACATTGTGGTCCACTCTTGTTATTTTACATTCTATGGGGGTGGACAAATGTATAATTGCATATATCCATCATTATGGTATAGTACAAAATACCTTCACTGCTATAAAAATACTGTTTTTTACCTATTCATCTTTTCCTCTTCTCTGTCCCCTGGTAACCACTGATGTTTTCTTTTTTTAAAGATTTTATTTATTTATTTTTAGAGAGAAGGGAATGGAGGGAGAAAGAGAGAGAGAAAAACATCAGTGTGTGGTTGCCTGCCACTTGCCCCCTAATGGGGATCTAGTCCACAACCCAGACATGCGTCCTCACTGGAAATCGAACCAATGACCCTTTGCTAAGTAGTCTGGTGCTCAATCCACTGAGCCACACCAGCCAGGACACTGATTCTTTCATTGTCTATAATTTAGACTTTTCTGGCATATCAGAATCATACAGTACATTGTCTTTTCAGATTGACTTCTTTCATTTAGTAATTTGCATTTAAGTTTCCTCCACATCTTTTCGTAGCTTGATAGGTCATTTCTTTCTAAGCACTGAATAAATATTCTGCTAACTGGTCATATTACACTTTATCAGTTTGTCTAGTGAAGGACATCTTAGTTGCTTCCAGGTTTTGGTAATGGTGAATAAAGATGAGGTAAACATTTGTGCGCAGGTTTTTGTGTGGATATGAATTTCAACTCATTTGGGTAAACATCAAGGAACACAATTGCTGTGTGGTATAGTAAGAGTATGTCTAGTTTTGTAAGAAACCACTGTATTGTCTCCCAAAGTGGCTGTACCATTGTGCATTCCCAGCAGCAGTGAATGAGAATTTCTGTTGCTCCACGTTAAATGCCCTGTCAGCATTTACTGTTGCCAGTGTTTGGATTTGGGCCATTCAGATAGGTGTGTAGTGACACCTCATTGTTTTATTTCGCACTTCCCTAGTGACAGACGACATGAAGCATCTTTTCATATGCTTATTTGTCATCTGTATATCTTCTTGGGTTAGTCATCTGTTCAGGTCTTTTGCCCATTTTTAAATCAAGTTCTTTATTTTTTTTATTGTTTTTTTTAAACTTTTTTTATTGATTATGCCATTACATTTGTTCTATTCCTCCCCTCCATTCCCCTCCACCCTGCATACCCCTCCCCCACCATTTCCCCCTTTAGTTCATGAACAAGTGTCTCAAATTCTTTAGATTCTGTATTTCCCCTACTATTCTTACCCTCCCCCCTATCTATTTTCTATCTACTGTCTATGCTACTTATTTTCTGTACCTTCTCACCCCTTCTCCTCCTCCCACTCCCCTGTTGCTAACCCTCCATGTGATCTTCATTTCTATGGTTCTGCTCCTGATCTAGCTGTCCTCTTAGTTTGCTTTTGTTTTAGGTGTGGTTGTTACTAACTGTGAGTTTGCTGTCCTTTCACTGTTCATCTTTTTTATCTTCTTTTTCTTAGGTAAGTCCCTTTAACATTTCATATAATAAGGGCTTGGTGATGATGAACTCCTTGAATTTGGTCTTATCTGAGAAGCACTTTATCTGCCCTTCCATTCTAAATGAAAACTTTGCTGGGTAGAGCAATCTTGGTTGTAGGTCTTTGGTTTTCATGACTTGGAATACCTCTTTCCAGCCCCTTCTTGCCTGTAAGGCCTCTTTTGAGAAATCAGATGACAGTCTGATGGGAACTCGTTTGTAGGTGACTGTCCCCTTAGCTCTTGCTGCTTCTAGGATTCTCTCCTTCATTTTAACCTTGGCTAATGTAATTATGATGTGCCTTGGTGTGTTCCTTCTTGGGTCCAACTTCTTTGGTACTCTCTGAGCTTCCTGGATTTCCTGGAAGTGTATTGCTTTTGCCAGATTTGGGAAATTCTCCTTTATTATTTGTTCAAATAAGTTTTCCACTGGTGGCTGTTCCTTTCCCCCTTCTGGTACCCCTATAATTCGGATGTTGGAACGTTTAAAGATGTCCTGGAGGTTCCTAAGCTTCTCCTCATTTTTCTGAATTCTTATTTCTTCATTCCTTTCTGTTTGATCATTTTTTTCTTCCTTCTGGTCCACTCCCTTGATTTGAGTCCCAATTTCCTTTCCTTTACTATTGGTTTCCTTTGTATTACCATTCATTTCAATTAGTTTAGCTTCCATATGTTTCTCTAATTTGTGACTAAAATCAACCAGTTCTGTAAGGATCCTGATAACCAGTGTTTTGAACTGTGCATCTGAAAGACTGGCTATTTCTTCATCGCTTAGATCTATCGGTTCTGGGGCTCTGAGTTGTCCTAGAGCCATTTTTGGTCTATTCGTGCTGTTAAGTAAGCGGAGCGAAGCCTTAGTTGTCTACAAGGACGAGGCAACCCAAGTCGCTGGTTTGTGACGCTGTGTGTGTGGGCGTGGTCAGAGAGGGAGCAATGGCGGTCCTCTCTGCTAGCCCAGTCCGTCCAGTCACACCACTCGCCCCGGGCCTGTTTATCCGATGGGAATTGTGTGAGCCTGCTGCCCCGAGCAGGCTTCCCTTCTCACTGGTTTCTCCGCACCCAGATGCACGACCGACCGACCGCAGACAGCTGGCGGCGCCTCTTCCCTGTGCGCTCCCGTAGCTAGCCCGCGATCAGCGCCTTCGGCTGCTTGCGCACCGCGCACCACCCGGGGATTTTTTCTTGCCAACCTGCTCCGCTGCTGGTTTCGCTTCTCTTACCGGTTTAGCTGAGCATTTAGTTGTCTTTGGACTCCATATTGTCGATTTTCTGTGTGGCTTGGTTGTGTTTATTGTTGTTAAAAATAGTTGTTCTTAGATTTGGTTGTGCACAGAGGCAAGGTGGTTCCACCTACGTCTCCATCTTGGCGGAAGTTTTATTTTTTTATTGTTGAATTTTAAAGGTACTTTGTATATTTTAGATAACAGTCTTTTATTAGATATGCCTTT